CCCCACCCTGCCTTGATGCCCCCAGCCCTGCCTTGATGCCCCCAACCCCATGCTGATGCCCCCAACCCCACGTCGATGCCCTTGACCCCATGTTAGTGCCCCCAATGTCACGTTGGTGCCCCATGACCCCACATTGGTGTTCCTGACCCATTGTTGATGCCCATGAGCTCATGTTGGTGCTCCCATTGGATGCCCCAACCCCGTGTTGTTGCCCCCAACCCCATGCTGATGCCCCCAACCCCATGTTGTGGCCCCCAACCCCATGTTGTGGCCCCCAACCCCATGCTGATGCCTCCTGCCCTGCCTCGATGCCCTTGGATTCCTGACAGTGTCCCCAACCCTGGGTTGGGGTCCCCAGCATCATCTTAATGCCCTTGACCCCAGTGTTGGTGCCCCCAGTGTCATGTTGGTGCCCCCAATGTCGTGCTGGTGCCCCCAATAACATCTTGGTTCCCCCAGTATCACATTGGTGCCCCCAGTATCATGCTGGTGCCCCCAGTATCACATTGGTGCCCCCAAAAACATGTCGGTGCCCCCAGTATCGTGTTGGTGCCCCCAGTATCAGGTTGGTGCCCCCAATAACATGTCAGTGCCCCCAGTATCATGTTGGTGCCCCCAGTATCACATTGGTGCCCCCAGTATCATGCTGGTGCCCCCAGTATCACATTGGTGCCCCCAAAAACATGTCGGTGCCCCCAGTATCGTGTTGGTGCCCCCAGTATCAGGTTGGTGCCCCCAATAACATGTCAGTGCCCCCAGTATCATGTTGGTGCCCCCAGTATCACATTGGTGCCCCCAGTATCATGCTGGTGCCCCCAGTATCACATTGGTGCCCCCAAAAACATGTCGGTGCCCCCAGTATCGTGTTGGTGCCCCCAGTATCGCGTTGGTGCCCCCAGTATCACGTCGGTGCCCCCAGTATCGTGTTGGTGCCCCCAGTATCGCGTTGGTGCCCCCAGTATCACGTCGGTGCCCCCAGTATCGTGTTGGTGCCCCCAGTATCGCGTTGGTGCCCCCAGTATCACGTCGGTGCCCCCAGTATCGTGTTGGTGCCCCCAGTATCGCGTTGGTGCCCCCAGTATCACGTCGGTGCCCCCAGTATCGTGTTGGTGCCCCCAGTATCGCGTTGGTGCCCCCAGTATCACGTCGGTGCCCCCAGTATCGTGTTGGTGCCCCCAGTATCGCGTTGGTGCCCCCAGTATCACGTCGGTGCCCCCAGTATCGTGTTGGTGCCCCCAGTATCACATTGGTGCCCCCAGTATCACACCGGTGCCCCCAGTATCACGTCGGTGCCCCCAGTATCACACTGGTGCCCCCAGTATCATACTGGTGCCCCCAATCCCCCCCAATACCGGCAGACGCGGTGGGCGGAGCCCTATTTGCATACATTTCCATACCTCCCCCCCGCTCC